GACGCACCCCCCTCGACGCCCCTCCCCCCTCAAATTAAGCAGACTCTTCCGGTTGCTCAACTCCACAGCGTCCGCTCTCGGAATCCAGAATTGGACTGGACCCTATTCATCCAAGAATTCACCGCCTCGCGTATAACCGACCGCAGGAGCGTGCCTATGCCGTACACAACTGTGCATCAAACATCCTACTTTACGCTGTGCCGTCCACCCCAAACTTTGTCGACGGTGGGACCGGCGAAGTCAGGCATCGGATGGGCCTCCGCTCTCGTACGGACCGGATTGGGATACAGCAAAGGTAACATGTTCTGTGCAGGTTGGGAAATTCGAACGAGGTCGAGAAAGGGATTTTCCGTGCGGGATAATTCACCTCGTGGATACCTCGAGGACGATGTGTAGACAGCATCCGATTGCCAGTTCTCTTGGCTCAAACAGTACGTATCAACAATGAGCATACTCTGCGTTACACAACGTGATGCATAGATTCAATAGTATAGTATCCAAGTACCGAGTGCCCGAATGATCTGATAGAGGTCCCCAACCCAGGGCAGAGGGTGCATGTATTTTTCTGCATAAAATCTACCAGTCGAGCCTAAGAAACAACGCTTTTGACTACTACCGGAAGAACGCCTGTAAAATCATTTCAGGTCAGGGTTACAGATGATAAGATAATAGGTGTATGTACGCACCGCCTGTAGGTAGCGAATAAGACGGACGCCCGATGGCGTTCAGGAAACCATTGAAGAACCCGCCGTGAGCAGTGATTGACATATCTACCGTGTTCGGTACAAGTCAGTGATGGGCCTTAGAAGCAGTTGTCAAGGCAGCTCAGGCACAGATGCCAAGTCATCGCGAACCAACGTCCGATTGGGAACGCTGTTCGTTACGGCAGACCACGGGAACGTTCCGTCATTTACGGATCGATGCATCCCACAGGCCAGAGCAACAACATCAGGAATGCATACCAAATGCGATTGAGGTGGAAATAATATGTATCAAGGATGATGCTACTCACAGATGCCAGGATCGTTGAATGTAGTGTCTAGGACTGATAGAGCACGCAGGACGATGTGAGCCTTGGTCTCTCGGGTATCTGCGTCCCAGAGTGGATCCTCCTCTGCGAAGCCCCGTTCGAAGGCGAACGTAGGAGGTGGGTATAGAGTGCCCAAGTGAGACAGCGGGGATCGTAAATCACAAGTGTGGACTCCGTATTCTTCTCTGCAGTGCTAAACACAGCGGTCAGGGGTATACTGCCGTGTGAAGACCAAACACACCTCCATAACCAAAGCTATCCTCTTTTCAGACGAGAATGCTCCCTCGTCCTCGCTTATTCCTCGCACACCAAACGTCACCGCCCACGTATCCAAAGCGCGCTTCAGAGGACTGACATAGTGCCGTTCAGGTTGAGGAATCCCATGCGGTATTTCAGCAAGCCAGGCTTGGTGTGCGTCAGCAGCTTGCACATGCCCAAGGGGTGTAAGGAGAGGATCCGGGCCCCAGGTCATCTCTTCATCTCCGTACAGTTTAGAGTAGTAGCTGACAGACGAGGTTGGTCGTGCAGAGAGATCACGAAAGCGGATACCCACTCATCCCATGCCTCTGTTCCGTATTTGGATTCTGCGACGTTATCTATTTCGGCTTTAAGAATGGGCTAGGAAAAGATAAGAATATTGAGGAACGTACGGTACCCTTGCCCGTGTCTTCCCAGGAAAAACACCTTGTACGACACTCCCGGCGCTGCTGAAGCATTCAATTCAGATATCCTGCGCTTGAATTGGTGCCATCTGTCTGGTGCATCGTCTATGAGGCCGAAACTCGTTGGAAGCTGCGGTGTCTGGTTTCTTGGTTCCGGACTGACTCCAAGAGGGTAGGTGCTTACCGCTCCGACCTGAGATGGGATAGCCTGATGGTCATCCTGAAGAAAGAATCCAGAGAGAGACTTGAAAGTGATGTAAGTTGCGAAGAGGATTGGTAGTCGAGGTTGAAACGTACAGAGTAAGATCGGGACATACCAGTCACAGTCAAGCTTGTTAGACGCCGGGATGAGTCTCAAATTCATTTTGTCTATTTCATTACCGGGAATCCCAATCACCGAGAGAATACACGCAGAACCATCAACCGTATCCTGCTGGTTTATCGTAAAAGCCGTGGAGACGGGTCAAAGAAGGTGCAGTGCATCGCTGGACACGGAGTTTTTGCCAATGCTATCTCCGAAGTTTCATTGCTACCGTTCCTATTATTCCGTGCTTTGAAGTCTACAAAATCCAGATACGACTTGGGAGGAACAAATTGGAAACCCTGGGAGAACGTTTTGGTACCCTGTCTCATATCGAAGTCTCGCAAAAAATGGACGGCTGCTATCTTCGTGACCCAGCTGTTGCCAGTGACTGCCATTGGTGACTGTCGCCTACAGCATCTGTGGGGCATTGTGGATTACGTTCTCAACCTTGTGATCTATCACATTCGAACACGAACTCTCGAATGCTCGAAAATCTGACCTTGGTTTTGAAGTTTTTTCGTACTGTCACACAATTTCACGGTACTTGTAATAGTCTTCCGGGGGAGCTTATTCTAGAAACAAACAAAGTCGCTGTTTTTCAGATGCTTATCTGAACTGTCCCCCGGCCTTATACGCTAATCTGGTTGAAGTCACATATTTACTTTCGCCGCTGGCGACATAATACCGCAGACATCAAAACGATTCAAGGAATCTGCCTTTGCGGCGACGGGTTCGGATAAGGTGGATCTTTTCACTGGTGAACATCTTACAATCGATCTCTTTCGCTACAACTCATGCTGTTACCGTTAGTACTAGCCCGGCGGGTCTTCTCATAGATCTTCGCTACCCAAATTCGTCTGAGGGGGAAAGGCCCCGTTCGGGGGTGGAGAGGCAACTGTGAAGTCGGTCGTCTCATCTGGCCATCGTTTGCGCCCATCAGGTTGTGTTAAGCAACTCTAGTCTCTGGCCTATGCCACCCTTCGATTTATCTGGTTCCAATCGAATGGATGAATGTCAGCGATAGCTCATAATAAACGGGTTGAGAAGTAAAGTCTGCGGAGCTCTCGGAGGCAAGTCACTAGTGTAGTATACCGATATGATAGCAGGTCGCATTGCTTATACCTTTTCACCGCCCGCAGCTCTCAAATAGGCTACTGATGACTTGAACATCACACAATATAATCCCCAAAGAAATATTTTGACGGCGATGGAAGAAAGGGCATGCTTAGGGAACCGCTGGTCATCACTTCGTGAAGCTCAACGCTGGACCTATAAATGGTGGAATGAGACTAGCTCAACTCTCCGCTCTCATTTTTGTGCACAAATTCAATATGCCAGGAAATGATCGCCCTCTCCTGTCCGTGATGTGCGTCCGATCAAGAAGACATGATATAAGGACTCCAAGCCTATGGGTATTGACAGCCCGTCCGTTTCGCCGGTTGTCGTCAGCCCCTGCGGAGCAGAACCTATGTCACCTATTGGAAGAAGGCCCAATAGCCGAGGGCAACCGGGAAGCTCAGATCTAGTATCCCTTCGCTGACGTGCTCGTGTATTTGGATCATGGTAGCTCTATTATCATATCACATGTACAAAACGAATATCACTGCTCCCTTCCAATGCACTGAAAGGGGGTTCAAGCCAGAGACACGACACCTGCAATCCCGGAGACCGTGACCTGTTGCTGTGTCGGCCCCACTTTAGTTCCCCTCTGTGCAAAGCTTTGCGTCCAGGTGAAGAATCCGGCAGGGTCGAGTGCAGCGAGTGTTTCGTTGATAGTGGTCAACTGTCCAGGAGCGTAACATTCAAAGGATGGCAAGCGGCCATATGCAATAGAAGCGGCCATAATCTAACATGACAAAAGTAAGTCTCTATTCTAGCAAACATCAAGCAGAGGGCGAACTGACCAAAATCTCTGAAGTGAGCCCCGTGATGGAGGCAGCCGCCGATCGAAATCGATGCATACGGTACGTCGAATTTCCCAACCAGGTCCATTCGCTGTCGGTGTAATTCTAGTAGCGTATAGTTTACTGGCATGTCGAAGTGGAGATAAATCATATGGCGCTTACATAAAACTCTGCATCCGACGGCCAAAGCTTGCTATTTGGTGCGACTAGAGGCTCCTCTGAGCTCAGAGGCGGGTCTAATATCGCCTCTAATGGATGAGTGAAGATGAGTTCGACTTCACCGGGCGAAGCTTTCAGCCCTGATAGGATAGTAGGATCGGCAACTACGGCAACTACTGGTGTTACGAGAATCAGTGACCTCGTCCAAGCAAGAAACGGGCGAAGGGTGCAAAGAGTGTGAATAGATGGATGCTGAAGAGGTAGTCCGACTTCCTCATACGCTTCTCGGTACTATTGCGTGATTCGAGAGTATTAGTAGGGCATAGGCAAAGCATTGATGTGAGAATATAACATACTGCTGTTTCCACAATATCTTTGTCTGTATCATCCGTAGCACCGCCGGGAAGAGCAGTCTGCCCAGGATGGGACCGTAAAGTCTTTGCTCTGGTTGTCAGTAATACTCTTAAATGACCATGCTCCTCGTATAACAAGACAAGTACAGCGGCACGCCGCATTTTAGCGGTTGTCCTGGAAATGTATTTGGCAGTCCTGTGAGTCTGAGATGTCAGTTGAAGAAGTGGAATAGAATTAACTAACGTATCTAGACTCTCTGCGTTATGGGCAACCAGTCGCTTGATGCATTCTTGCGATCTCGATGAGAATACCGAAACTGGGGCGATAGGTGGCATCCCAAGGATGGCCATGATCTTTCCTGCATAAACCGCGGTCCCATGCTGGTATTCCTTATATACAAATAAACGAACAGACTGGAGTGGGACCGGAGCAACAATTTTGAAGAAAGTCGACTAACATAAGTAAAATTTACAGAAGGCAAAAGTCAAACAACGTCAATTTAGATTGCTGAGCTCAAAGTAGCATGAAGCTTACCGTAGGAGCGTGTAGGGGGTTCGTAAGGGGCCTAACAGTGAATAAAAATAAAATGCTCGGAGAGAGGGTCGAACTCTCGACCTCAGGATTACCGGCCCGTCCGGGCCGCCATACGGACCGTATGAGACCTGCGCTCTAACCAACTGAGCCATCCAAGCTTAAAATTACAGAGCGCGATCGAGATTCGGGGAACTCCGCAAGCATCACGTGGCATAGGCCACATGGACATCGGAGCGCTCATTTTCCGGGCCGGGGGCGCAACAACAAAAATTGAAGCTGGAAACAAGATGTGGTCAGTGGAGGACACTGAAAACGACCCAGGGACGAGCCTGTCGCTCCCCATAGTGGAATTACGGATGGATAACGTTCAACATGTACCTCCCTCATGTACGTCGACTTGCATAGTTTTCCTTTGCCAGACCGTTCTTAGGAACCTTTTGAATACCTCTTTCTTCAACCAAGTTTGTTCAACTTTGTTGGACCCAATGTTGCGCATGTATTGACTGAAAAAAGGATAGCGGTGAGATAGGCAGTAATTGCTTCTGTAAAACAGATGATATCTCAAGCGAGCAATACAAAGCGTCGACTTTGATGCGCGCTCGTGTCTTCTGTTTCTAAGGGTGCGAATCGGTTAGAAGATGCTTCTAGTACCCCGTGTTGACGAGACTTTACGGCGGCAAGGAAGTGTGCCAAGGCTTCATCTAGCTGTAATATAAAATGTCTTCAGAGAGCTTGCGGGCACGACTGTGGATATGTACACTCACTACAGCAAGTGGCAGACTCTAGAACCAACCTCGTCATATAGTACTAATCACTGTATGAGCGTTTGACTAGCAACTTTGGAGAGTCAGGACACTGACCTATCTATATTACACTTCATAGTACAATGCTTAGAACGTTTCAGAATGTGACTGAAAAAATCATGGTATGTGTCGCATCCTCATTTACCGTGGTCAATAATATGACGGCGCCGGGTTGCGCTGTGCGTTGCATTGATTTATCATGCATCATGATTTAGGGATTGAATGTTCAAAGGGGGATATATCAAGAGCTCCCGCGTGCATTTCTCTAATCGCAAGCCCCAATATCATTAGTACAGTTTACACCAACGCAAGAAAAACAGATTTCTACCGCCTATTTCTGCCTTTTGTAAATCTTGTCCAAGAAGCTCTTGAACACGGCCCTCTGCAGTTTCACCTCACCGTCTTTACCCGAACCACCTTCGGGGATAGTCTCGATGAGACCAATAATCCGCTTGTACGCCTTCTCCTCGTACTCTTCATACCTTGCCCGCACGCCCACAGCTTCAAACACCTCTTTCACATTCTTCTCCGCCTCGGCGTTCTTCCGTCCATAGTTCTTGTCCAACACCTCCCGCTGCTCGGGAGTAGCGACGGCGAGAGCAGTGTTGACACACCAGGAACACTTGTTGTCAACAATGTCTGTGCCGATCTTGCCGATCTGCTCCGGTGTACCGGCGAAGTCGAGGTAGTCGTCTTGCACTTGGAAGTATTCGCCGAGGGGGATAAGGATGGAAGAGGCGAGCGCGTAGAGGTCTTGTTCTCCCGTACTGTTATGTGAGATTCCACAGTAATACATGGCAAGTGCGACCGGGAGATAGAACGAGTAGTACGCTGTCTTGTAGACGACGATCAAGCTGTGTCTATAAGCTCAATGTCAGCTTGCTGACTTTGGCAAATTTGAATCCAAGCCGTACCGCTTGAGAGAGAATTTGCTCAAGTCTACTTTGTCCTCTGGAGCGGTGATCAGGTCAAGAAGCTGACCGATCTCAGTCTGCAAGCTTGTCTACACATACTGTGAGTCCGGTAATATCCTTCATGTAAGGATGAAGGCACGTACCTCATGGAATAGCTCGATGAGGTTGATGTATGCGGGGTCTGCGCGGAAGTGTTTCTTCAAAAGCCAGTAGATAGCAGATTCGAGCAGAAAAGCGTCGTTAACTGCGATGTATCCGACTTCCTCGATACGGTACCAACATGGCTGACTCCGTCTCGTGATGCTCGAGTCCATGAGGTCGTCCGAAACTAGGAAGAAGGCTTGTAGCTGGCGTGATTTGTCAGAACGAGGGACTTGAAGCTAACGAGGATGTGGACGTACGAGTTCAACACACCATCCAAGCACTGCAGACTTAAAGTACTCTTCATCTGTCAGGCTGCGCCTCTTCAATATCTCTACAGAATCGACGACGGACAGACCACGATTGAGTTTGCCACCCGGGACGTTGTAGTCCAAGTTCTATTCGGTGCAAACGTCGTCAAGTAGAAGATAGATACTAGCATATCATGCAACGCACTTTGGCGAACCATTCTGTAGCATCCTGGGGGAGATTCTGCGATTTGAAGAAGTCGACGAGCTCGTCGCGGATGACGGTGAAGACGTGTTCAAACTTTGCACGCTTTTCGGCCTTTGAGCTCATCGTTGAGGACTATGAGGATGTAGGGAGGAGTGGAGAATAGATCAACTATCTGGTGGCCAATTAAGTATGGCAGGCATTTTGAACGTGGTGCCATCGCCAATAAAAGTTGAATGGATTTTCCGCATATAAAGTAGCGACCCCCCCACTTCTCGGCGTCTCTCCTCATCGAACGACTTGTGCACTGAACAGTTTACGTGTAAGAGGAACAGCAGCTGATGTATTCCATGTTATAAAGCGAACTATATGCGTGAGGGGTGGTTTGCATTGTCGTGAGCAAAAAGGAAATACAAAAACTAAAACGATAGAGGTACAATATGTAGCAATTGAAGACATGACGATGAGCAGTGGGAGTAGACGTGAGCAACTACAAGTTCAAGAGTGATCAGAATGCAGGAGAAACAGCGTTAGAATACTTTTTAACTAAGAAAACCAAGCATATACTGGTCGCTTAGAATCCCATACCACCCATACCGCCCATACCGCCCATACCACCCGCACCGCCCATAGGTGGCTTGCTCTTATCCTCCGCCTCTACCACACATGCTTCGCTCGTGGTCAACAAGCTGGCGACACCAGCAGCATCAACAAGCGCAGTGCGGACGACCTTGAATGGATCGACGATACCGGCCTTGATCATGTCGACGTACTGACCCTTGCTAGCGTCGTATCCCCAAGCGAACTTGTCGGGAGTACCGTAGGTCTGCTGGAGAGCACCAACGATAACAGACGCCTCCTCGCCCGCATTCTTGAAGATTGTGCGTGCAGGGTAAGTTAAAGCCCGACGGATGATTTGGACACCGAGGTCCTGGTCAAAGTTAGCGGTAGGCACTGTCTTCGCGTCAGGGGCTGTGGGGAGACCAGATGCGCCAGGTGCGTTGGAGGCAAGCATGAGGGAAGCCTTGAGAAGAGCGACACCACCGCCGGGGAGGATACCCTCTTCAACAGCAGCACGAGTCGCATTGAGAGCGTCATCGTAGCGGTCCTTCTTTTCACTGACCTCCACTTCGCTGCTGCCGCCAACCTTGATAACGGCGACACCACCACTGAGCTTCGCAAGACGCTCCTGGAGCTTGGTCTTGTCAAAGTCACTGGTGGTGGGGTCAGCGAGAAGAGCACGAATTTGCTCGCAACGGGCCTGAATAGCGTCCTTGGAGCCTTCGCCGTTGAGGATGATGGTGTCTTCCTTTGTGATGGTGACTGAACCGGTAGTACCAAGCATGTCAGGGGTAGCACGCTCAAGCTTGATATCGAGTTCGTCAGTGAAGACAGTACCACCAGTGAGAATGGCAAGATCGCCGAGGATAGACTTGCGGTTATCACCGAAGCCAGGGGCCTTGACGACACAGACTTGGAGCTGTCCACGGAGTTTGTTGAGGACACAAGCGGCAAGGGCCTCACCATCGACATCCTCAGCAATGATAAGGAGAGGACGGCGAGCCTGAGCAGCAGTCTCTAGAGAAGGAAGGATATCCTGGAGTAGGGAGATCTTCTTCTCCGACAAGAGAATAAACGGCTTCTCGAACTCGACCTTTTGGCTCTTGACATCGGTTACGAAGTAAGGCGAAGTGAAGCCACGGTCGAAGCGCATGCCCTCAGTAATCTCAATCTCATCCTCGATAGTACGACCCTCTTTAACTGTGATGACACCCTCCTTGCCAACCTTCTCCATAGCCTGCGCGATGAGGTTACCGACATGAACGTCACCATTGGCCGAGATGGTGGCAACCTGTGCGATCTCTGCAGTGGTGGTGATTGTCTTCGCGTGGGAAGAAAGGAATTCTACTACGCGGTCAACCGCTGCCTGAGAACCGCGGCGAAGGTCCATTGGGTTGCAACCAGCAGCAACATTCTTGACACCTTCAGAGTAGATAGCACGAGCGAGGACAGTGGCAGTTGTAGTACCGTCACCGGCAATCTCGTTGGTTTTTTGTGCGACATCCTGAACAAGACTTACAAGGAGTATTAGCAAAGAATTTTTGAAAGATACAAGCACACTCACCGAGCGCCGAGGTTTTCGAACTTGTCCTCCAACTGAATGGACTTGGCGACGGTCACACCATCTATACGAGAATATAAGTCAATAAATAACCAATATGAAATTTTGAAGCCGTGAGTGCCGCCGCCCGTGCGAACAAGCGCTCGGTGGGAAAAGAGCGAACGCAAAGGTCGCTCCTTGAAGAGCAACAAAGCGACACATCCCCTAGAGAAACATGATATAACACGGGTAGCAAAAGTCTTTACTCACCCTTGGTAATCTTGGGACTACCAAACGATTGCTCGATAATCACGTTTCGGCCTGGAGAAGGTGTCGGTCAGACATAGTTTCTCGAGTACGGGGGAAAGATATACATACCCTTGGGACCGAGCGTGACGCTGACTGCATCGGCGAGAATATCCACACCCTTGAGAATGCTAGCACGACCCTCGTTGGAGAACTTAATCTCCTTGTGTGCACCCCTGGAGAGGGCGGGCTGCGACCTAACAGTTTTCGCGGCGGCGCGACGAAGAGCACGAGACGAAGCGTTAGAAAGGTGGTGCATAGCGACGGATGTAAGAAAGAGAAATACGAGTGGTGGTGGATAAATGGAACGGTGAGGAAGAGAGAAAACTCAACGAGCAAGAGTTTCGGGACGGCTTATGCGACTTTTGAACGCTTCCCGAAAGAATCATCTAGAATCACGCGTAACAGCCACGTGTGACGTGGGTCACACGTCACACTTT